TGCATAGACGGTTAGCTGTCTATGTTCCACGATTCCACCAAACAGAGCAGCCGGAAGTCTGTCAGGAAGCTGAGAATGTTTACTCTGTGTATACTGTATAATCAACACCAGAGGGATGTTTGTTTTCTTTATTTTTCAAGCTCTTTTACATCTCATTTTTTGCCACCATGAAATCAGAATCAGCCGTGATTCTTTTTATTAAAAGGGGTTCTACTTTTAGTCAGCACTCTTACATTAGCATTCTCGTTGGCTGTCGCTCGCTCTCGTTGGCTGTCGCCAATATCTGTGTAACAGGGGAAAATCTGTTTTCATAGTGACAAGTTTCCTCTCTCCTCGTGACGGTGTTGTTGAAACAGATTGTTGTCTCCTAGCTAGTTCAACATACAGTCATGACAATCTCTCCAGGTTCCAATCGGCACTCGAGCAGTCGCATTGCAGACCACTTGGAGCCATGTTGCGGCCTTATATTTGCATTAATACGATTAATAATGAACACCGAGCCCCCACTCCTCCTCCTCATTACAGAAGAAAATGTGTGAATGTGAGTGATGTAGCGGAGGCATCACACTGAAGTCTGGCTCAACCAGTTAATTAGCTGCTAAACAAAATAGCGTCGAGAGTGAGCTCGCTCTGCAGAGTGATGTTGTCAAAGCAAGCTCCAATTCTTTCAGACCTCCTCTTGACCCCCCAGCTCTCCAAGTGTTTAAACTGCAAACATATTAGTTTGGTCACAAAAGAAAATGCAATTGTCTCCTTTTTGGACAGAAGGACCATGCTGACAGGAAACATTTCATCACGATGGCAACAAAAAGCGGTGAGGATCAGTACCTTTTCAGCACGTCCTGGTACATGTGACACGTAGAGATTATAAATAGAGCGCTTTGGCAGCGGAGGCCAACCACTGGCAGAGGGTCCGGTCTTGGCGATGGGTGAATGCAGGGGCCAGCGGCCTTGGACTCTGGACATCTGGACAGTGACCAGTTGGTGCTGTGGAGGAGGTAAAGGCCCAAGTGTGTGTGTGTGTGTGTGTGTGTGTGTGTGTGTGTGTGTGTGTGTGTGTGTGTGTGTGCGCGTGTATTTATGACTCACATTGGTATTTTTCCAACGAGAATGTCGGTCCAATTCAGAATTGTACTGCCTAAGGGATGTTCTACTTTGGAGGCACGGTGGTCTAATGACGAGCATGTCCGCCTCAGAGTGTAGAGGTCATGCGTTGGATTGCGGGCTCCGGCCTTCCTGTGTGGAGTTTGTATACTGTCCCCATGCCTGCATGGGCATTCTCACACAAAAACATGCACGGTAAGTTCATTGAACACTCTAATAGCTTAGGTGTGATTGTGAATGTGAATGGTTGTGTCTCAGTGGCGGACAGCCGTTTCACTCACGCCTGAAGGAAATATGCCACACTTGTCTCATGCATTTGTTCGTGGGGCTGAATGCAACAAGACAGTCTGGATCCAGCCACCATTCTCTCCGCTCAACCCCTCAGCCGCTGCACCCCCGACAGTCCGGAAATACTTTCATTGAGTCCTTTCAAATTAAAAAGTGTTTTCCATTTCTGGTTGGATTACTTCCCATTTCCGTTTTCAAAATAAAATGCTTGTCAAAGTCAAATTTACTCTTCATAAAAGTATAATACGTTGATGAAAAATAAATGTCTTCTCTTTTTCAAATGGACTTTTGATATAAATACAAATATATAGTATAAGACAAGTCTTTATATAAAATTAAAAAATGTAAAAAAGCAACTATATTTTCTCTCTTTCAAATTTACTCTCAATATGAATAATATAAAAATATAGCTGACAAAAAATAATAAGCACATATGTCCCGTCGTTGCATTCAAGCTGTTAATGATTTTGGAATCAGATATAAATGTAAATTAGGATCTAAGTATGGCAAATAAATAACTAAATAAATCGTCACATAGCTCTGATACTTCTCCTTACTGATCTATGACAGTAACAGTTCTTTCTAGTGAGCAGTTTTGATGAATGCCTGAAATAAAAGGACACATTTCTCCAGTCACCAAAAATTCAATACACTTACAAATAAATAAATAAAAATTATTTTGTTCTGTTGAGATCATCATTTAGTGTACATTTGGTGCATAGTCAATAAAACCCAGTAGGTGCGAAAAAGAGATTCCACAGAAAAAAACTTAGAAGTCAAACCGTTGAGACGATCATTTATTTTATGATCAAAAAGAAATATAGCAGCTGCAAAAAAGAGCTTCAGCAGGTTTGGCTTTCAATGCTCATGTTATCCTTCACGGCCAAGTAACGAGTCCGCTCCTGAAGACACGTACAAAAGTCTAAACAAGTTGTGGAGCATTAAATCACCTTTGGTTGTTTTGATAAAGGCTGACAGTGTTTGAAGTACAAACCCAATTCAAATGAAGTTAAGACGTTTGTATTAAACATTAGGGTATTACTTATTCAAATTAGTCAACGGGGTAGTTCTGTTGTACAGCTCACAGCAGGTCACCATAATGTCGCAATTCTTGGTCATGCAATCTAGAGCCCTATTTATATGGGCTTGCTTTTTGGGGCTGATGTAAAAACTCGGCCAAAAACACACCAAAAAGTTTTTGTTTTTTTTGCGTCTGTCTCTCTGCGCGACCAATTACCAAGTGGCATGGGCTGCAGACCGTTGCCTAGAGCAGGGGTCCCCAACCTTTTTTGCCCCACGGACCGGTTTATGTCCGACAATATTTTCAGGGGCCGGCATTTAAGGTGTGGCGGAAATAATACAACAAAATAATATGGTATGAGCTGCATGAAAACTGGCGTTTTCGAAATATAATAATAAACACAAGGAGCGTCTAATCTGGCCGCAACACTCCGATCGCTATGGCAGTGTTTAATGCCTTCAAAATACGATACAACGCAAATTCAAAGTGCATGAAAATGACGACTCACCACGGCACCGAGCTTGATTTTCTGCAACCAGACGGTCCCATCTCGGGGTAATAGGAGACAATGACACCTCAAGTGTGTGGTTTATGTCCAGTCTACTTCGTAATTTTGTTTTCGTCGCCGTTGCTGCAGAAACCCCCCGCCTCACACAGGTAGGATGTCGGAAATATAGCAACAGTGCTATTGTGGCCATCTCAGAGTATTCAGCCATAACTTTAATCCAGTTGTCTCGAACGTACTTTTAAGGCCGCCGTCATTTGCGATCTCCAGCAGTTTTTTTTTTTACTCATTTTGCGAGCTCCTGCGTTTTGTTTTGAAGTAATCGGTCACGTGAAGGAGAAGCGTGGCTTGACGTGTGTCAAGCATAACACAGACGGATGTAACGGAGAATCCGGTAGTTTTTCAAAATAAAACATATCTCGTGTTCCGAAATAAATAAAACGGAATTAAGGCAAGTTCTTTCTGTGCGGCCCGGTACCAAATGCCCGGCGGACCGGTACCGGTCCGCGGACCGGCGGTTGGGGACCCCTGGCCTAGAGGCTACTGATTTAGTTTGAACAGATTGCTCCTTGCTGGCATCACACCAAGATATCGTGGGAAGGAGGCGCCTGTGTCCGTATTGCAGAGCAGAAAGAGGTGGTACGAGAGTGTTTAATTACTTCGATTTTTCCAAAACAAATTGATTTATCTGAAAATGCACGACAGTTAGATTTTCTTGATCAAAAAATACAAGGAGAGTTCTTGACTGAAAAACGGACCATCCTGGCCGGATACTTCCGGATGAATCATAAAATTGCCACAATTTCACAAGCATAACGTGCATTCGTGTCCCAAATCACCACTCAAAAGCTGTTTTTTTCTTTGTACTCGTGTTATGCGCTCTCCCGGTTTGCAGGTGCCCATTCTCAAACACACTGTTGTCGATCAATCCCAATGTTGGTGTTAACATTTAAATCACATTGCCCACAACAGGCTCAGTATTGCTGTTACCAATACTTTTTTAAATATTTATAAGTGGATGTCATCACATTGTTAAATCTGCCAGGATCCATCAATATCAACAAATATATGATGGTTTACTGGATTCTCTACATGAGACCTTTTCTGCCTACTCCTTGTATGGAGCCGAGCCGAAGTGGATGTATTCCATATGTAAAAGCCACTACGGCATAATCTCTAGAATCACACCAGCATGCATGTTGTCATACGACGACGGCTCCCGGAATAGCACTTTGCAAATGAGAGGATTCCAACATGTCAGATGGAGGGCTGACAACATTATTAGCGACTGCAGGACATATAGTATCCGTACGGTTAATATCCTACCCGCTGAGCCAGCCGACTTGTCTGTCGGGGAGCCCATGAAGAAGAAAGGCGGAGGTAACATGCACCCCCTGTGGATACGGGGCCAACTCGTCTCGTCGGTGTAATGTCTCGGGCTTTTAAAGTGGCGCACTTGTGCACAACGCAGCTGGCACCGCCCCCGCTCCTTATTTTTTTAAAATTTTGTGAGTTTGACGTACAAGAGGACCAGGTTGACAGTCGCCAGAGGCGAGGGGAGCGTCATGTACATTTTATTGCCGGCCGCGGCAGACTACGGTTGGAGGGTGAGGGCAGGGGCTTCTATAAATAAATAAGATGCCGACCTGCTATTTACAGATATCTCGTTTGCCAGCGCGCAACTAAGGAGAGCTCAGCGGAACCCCAATTTCCAATTAAGTGTGCGTTTGATGTGGAGATGAAAAGCGTAAAAAGTGGAGCTATGCTGACACCTGCTGGGGAACTATTAGTATGATCTGAATTCACGGAAACAGCAGTTTCCAAAACTGCACTGATTGGGTCAAACTCACTAATGTAACCAGTTACTAAATGTTGTATGTCAGACTGAAAAACAGGTAGGACAGCGGACCTCAAGGAATGCCCATCCCTGATCTTGATCAACATTTACAATTAAAAGGATTCATTTCACAATTTTATGATAAAAGTTAAAAACAAATTATAAATGAAGATTGATAAAAATACTGTAATATTTTATTCCCATTTGAGACATGTTTTGCAAATATGGAAAAATGCCCCAGCTTAAACTGAACCAGTAAGTTTCTTGCCATTGGTAAAGGAGGTGTTTAAACAACACATTTGCAGGCAACAATATTATGTCCAACCACTAAGATGAGAATCGTGTCTTGGACATTTAGTCACTCTAAAGATATGTGAAATTAGTCTGCTGACATTACTCAGTGGCTTGTTGAAAAGAGGAGGACTCCTTTCTTTACTTTTATTTGCATCTGTGGTGTGCACATTCATTGTCCGGGGACACGGTTAGCAGCAGTACTACTCATAACTGAAACAAAACTCAAATGAGGTTGATTTGAACCAAACACAAAGGCTGAACATCTGACAAAAATAATTCCATTAGCTTGGCTTCCGGAACACTTGCTCTCAAATAACTCTGTAGATTCAAACAAAGAACATTAACAAACACCTCAATTTGTGAAATAAAAATAAATAGGCACTCAAAAAATTTACACATGCTGTGTTGTTCATTTCTTCAAAAATAAGTTTCTCTTTTTTTCCCCCTAACTATTCACACTTTGTACAAGTGGCTTGATGAAAAGGCTTTCCTGGGAACAAAAACATACTGTCAAAAAATGATCCTCCATTACACATCCCAATGGAGAGCTGCAGCCAATCACTGTATTCAAGTCAAGAAACTTAAATACACAAACAAGGATCAACTGTCCCCATCTCTTGTTTGTTAATCATTTGAAAAAATGTACACATCATCAAGCAACAAACTTGTTTTTGGTAGTGGAGCCGCTCTTTGTGGCCGTGTCGGCATGCGACTGGTAGCCAATGACCACTTTGGAAGGAACTCCAAGCCGCTCTTTGTAGACACGCCTACCAAAGAAAAACATTTAATAGACAAAACGGCACTGACAAAAAGGCAACATGGCAGCTCTCTGCTCACCCGATGTGCGTGATGGCCTCCTTGTTTTCGTAGTCCGTAGTCCAGATAGCAATCTTGTCCCCTTTGGATCTTACGTTGATGACTGCGCCACACACGTCATCGCTGTGGTCGTCGAACGCTTCGCCCACCAGACACAAGAGCTGCGATGCAAGGACATCCTCTAATGTGATGACCATGAAGGAGAACAGTATGGGCATGTACTACAAGAGCAAAGCTTACCGTCTCCAACCAGAACCGATCCAGGTCAGCCTTGCGCTGCTGCTTGGACAGCGTGATGAGCCAGCGACCACCTCGCCGGTTCCGTTCATCCTCCCACATCGGTTCAATACCATCCTGTAGAAAAAGAAATTATCATCTCAGAAGCCATCTGAAAAATCATATCCATGAGACGAAATTGGGATCGCTGCAACAAAGTGGACACTGTGGAATATAACACTAAAGCATTAAGTGCTACGCGATTGGATGTGTAAGCTCACCCAACTCATCTAGTTAGGCGACTGATTTGACTCCATAGTAGGGCTGAACAGTCAATTGTTCAGTCTCAGTTAACAAAAAAAAAAAAATGGTCTACCTTGTCTGACTGAGTGAAAATGCAGTACAGCTTCTGAGATAGCACCCATCAAAATACCAATGTCGATTACTTTATGTCATGATAGTGAGGCAGGAGGGGCTTGTTCCTACCTTAAAGAGTGAATAGTCACAGCCGGACATCAAGTTACTGGACAGCTGAATGTGGTTATACAACCTAGTATGGAACAAAGGACACAGCTTGCATTCGGAAAGAAATAACATCAACGGTTACTTTAATATTGCTAACCGCAGAAACTTGGCTATATAACATTACTTACGCCCAGAAGTCCTCCACTGTGTCAAATTTGGAGATGAGCCGAAGGTTGGCTTGCCAAGTTTTGCTCTTATCATTCTTGAAAAACCAAAGAGCCCACCTGCACATGTACAACACTATCGTTTGCTTCATAGTCAAAACTACAGACTAACACAGTTGGTGAGAACCAAACTCTGGGTCTTACCTGTTCTGTAAAGGGTGCTTGATGTATGAATCTGGACTTTCGACCAGTTTTTGAACAGTCGTCTTGCTCTCTTCCTTCTCAGGCTTTGGAGTGATGGAGGGTAACGCCTGATCAACCAAAGGAATACACAAAGATTTTAATAGGCAACACAATTTATAAAAAATGTCTTGGCAATGAGACTATATAAAGAAAATCTTGGAATAAACCCTGAAAAATTTTTTTTTTTTTTTTGTTAAACAATAGTTTACCCCTTCACTTACAGCTATCAATTGTCAATTGGAAGCGGAAATTAGATTTTTGTTCAATGGAAAAGTCATTTTACAGCCATGTCACCAACTCCTGAGTAAATTGTTTTCTGAATCATGTGCAACAATAGCAAGCATTAGAAGCAATTTCGCTGTACATTTGTCAAGAAAAGTGGACTTTCGACTGTGTGACGTCACATCGACTTCTTCCATCCATTCAAAAACAAGCGAGGTTTTATCAAAAGGGACGTACGGACAACATTCTAACTTTTCGGTAAGGCTTTCTATTAGTTGCACTTAAAACTAGTCGTTCTACACCTATTCTATCAGTTACGTGACATATAAAATAAATCACCACAGCCAAGTTTGTAGCCGTACACTGTGGAGAGAGGCTGGTAGCTCTACTATGCTAACCGCATCGCAATGACATTTTATTCCACTAGTGACACTTTTGCGCACTGGTTAGTTTAACGTTTAAATGCTAAAGAAACGTCTGAGACAGACGGGAACGCAAAAAGAAGATGCAAGGGACCTTGGGGCGAATTTAACTACTGGTGTTCACCAGTGCACTCACCATTAAGGCGGTCGCCATCTTGTAGAACCGACCTTCGCGATTTTTTTCTGTTAAATAAGATGATTGGATCAGCTGTAGCGCTGCACCGCGCATGCGCTGTAGGAACGGTGACGTCGTCGGAGGAGCCCAGTGATGGGCAAATTGTGGCCCGCGACTTCTGTAATATTTGTCACATTAATTTTGCCGTTTGTTCCCTTTGAAATTGATATAATTACGTGGATGTTTTTAATTATTCATCTTAAGTGTTTTTATTCATGAAACATCAAATAAAATGAAGGGTAAGCAGTTCAGAAAATGGATGGATGGACGGACATATAAGTTGTCTTTTTTATTTTGTTTAATATGGATAATTAATTCAATTTAAATTAATTTCATTTTCCATTATTTACATATAATTTCAGTTTTTAACCTCATCTACAAATTACCCATCTCCCAAATTATCACAATTGTTAATTTTGCCATTTTCCCCTTACAATTTGGTTAATGTTTTTCTTATATTTAAATTTTGATTTATCCATCCATAATCCTCACATAGGTCACAGGCAATAGGCTGCGTACACCCTGAACTGGTTGCTAGCCAATCGCAGGGCACACAAGACAAATAATCTTTCAAGTCAGAATCACACCGAAGGACAATTTGTCCGTAGTCCAGATAGCAATCTTGTCCCCTTTGGATCTTACGTTGATGACTGCGCCACACACGTCATCGCTGTGGTCGTCGAACGCTTCGCCCACCAGACACAAGAGCTGCGATGCAAGGACATCCTCTAATGTGATGACCATGAAGGAGAACAGTATGGGCATGTACTACAAGAGCAAAGCTTACCGTCTCCAACCAGAACCGATCCAGGTCAGCCTTGCGCTGCTGCTTGGACAGCGTGATGAGCCAGCGACCACCTCGCCGGTTCCGTTCATCCTCCCACATCGGTTCAATACCATCCTGTAGAAAAAGAAATTATCATCTCAGAAGCCATCTGAAAAATCATATCCATGAGACGAAATTGGGATCGCTGCAACAAAGTGGACACTGTGGAATATAACACTAAAGCATTAAGTGCTACGCGATTGGATGTGTAAGCTCACCCAACTCATCTAGTTAGGCGACTGATTTGACTCCATAGTAGGGCTGAACAGTCAATTGTTCAGTCTCAGTTAACAAAAAAAAAAAAAAAATGGTCTACCTTGTCTGACTGAGTGAAAATGCAGTACAGCTTCTGAGATAGCACCCATCAAAATACCAATGTCGATTACTTTATGTCATGATAGTGAGGCAGGAGGGGCTTGTTCCTACCTTAAAGAGTGAATAGTCACAGCCGGACATCAAGTTACTGGACAGCTGAATGTGGTTATACAACCTAGTATGGAACAAAGGACACAGCTTGCATTCGGAAAGAAATAACATCAACGGTTACTTTAATATTGCTAACCGCAGAAACTTGGCTATATAACATTACTTACGCCCAGAAGTCCTCCACTGTGTCAAATTTGGAGATGAGCCGAAGGTTGGCTTGCCAAGTTTTGCTCTTATCATTCTTGAAAAACCAAAGAGCCCACCTGCACATGTACAACACTATCGTTTGCTTCATAGTCAAAACTACAGACTAACACAGTTGGTGAGAACCAAACTCTGGGTCTTACCTGTTCTGTAAAGGGTGCTTGATGTATGAATCTGGACTTTCGACCAGTTTTTGAACAGTCGTCTTGCTCTCTTCCTTCTCAGGCTTTGGAGTGATGGAGGGTAACGCCTGATCAACCAAAGGAATACACAAAGATTTTAATAGGCAACACAATTTATAAAAAATGTCTTGGCAATGAGACTATATAAAGAAAATCTTGGAATAAACCCTAAAAAATTTTTTTTTTTTTTTTTTTGTTAAACAATAGTTTACCCCTTCACTTACAGCTATCAATTGTCAATTGGAAGCGGAAATTAGATTTTTGTTCAATGGAAAAGTCATTTTACAGCCATGTCACCAACTCCTGAGTAAATTGTTTTCTGAATCATGTGCAACAATAGCAAGCATTAGAAGCAATTTCGCTGTACATTTGTCAAGAAAAGTGGACTTTCGACTGTGTGACGTCACATCGACTTCTTCCATCCATTCAAAAACAAGCGAGGTTTTATCAAAAGGGACGTACGGACAACATTCTAACTTTTCGGTAAGGCTTTCTATTAGTTGCACTTAAAACTAGTCGTTCTACACCTATTCTATCAGTTACGTGACATATAAAATAAATCACCACAGCCAAGTTTGTAGCCGTACACTGTGGAGAGAGGCTGGGAGCTCTACTATGCTAACCGCATCGCAATGACATTTTATTCCACTAGTGACACTTTTGCGCACTGGTTAGTTTAACGTTTAAATGCTAAAGAAACGTCTGAGACAGACGGGAACGCAAAAAGAAGATGCAAGGGACCTTGGGGCGAATTTAACTACTGGTGTTCACCAGTGCACTCACCATTAAGGCGGTCGCCATCTTGTAGAACCGACCTTCGTGATTTTTTTCTGTTAAATAAGATGAGGAGATCAGCTGTAGCGCTGCACCGCGCATGCGCTGTAGGAACGGTGACGTCGTCGGAGGAGCAGTGATGGGCGCAAATTGTGGCCCGCGACTTCTGTAATATTTGTCACATTAATTTTGCCGTTTGTTCCCTTTGAAATTGATATAATTACGTGGATGTTTTTAATTATTCATCTTAAGTGTTTTTATTCATGAAACATCAAATAAAATGAAGGGTAAGCAGTTCAGAAAATGGATGGATGGACGGACATATAAGTTGTCTTTTTTATTTTGTTTAATATGGATAATTAATTCAATTTAAATTAATTTCATTTTCCATTATTTACATATAATTTCATTTTTTTAACCTCATCTACAAATTACCCATCTCCCAAATTATCACAATTGTTAATTTTGCCATTTTCCCCTTACAATTTGGTTAATGTTTTTCTTATATTTAAATTTTGATTTATCCATCCATAATCCTCACATAGGTCACAGGCAATAGGCTGCGTACACCCTGAACTGGTTGCTAGCCAATCGCAGGGCACACAAGACAAATAATCTTTCAAGTCAGAATCACACCGAAGGACAATTTAGACCGTTCAATTAAGCAATGATGCATGTTTTTTGGAATGTGGGTGGAAATCTGTGTACCCGGAGAAAACCCACACAAGCTCGGGGAGAACATGCAAACTCCACACAGGAAGGACATGCTAACCAGTCGCACATATACTGTACAAAATTGTCAGTGCCATGAAATAGTATTTGCCCCCTTCCTGATTTCTGTCTTCTTTACATATTCATCACATACAAAGGTTCATACATGGCAATGGCGAGTGATGAAAAAAGTGGAAGGGGCGTGGCCTGGACGGGGCGTGGCCTGGACGGGGGCGTGGTTACTTACAAAAGGGGCACTAAACATGCTGAAGATGAAGTGG